AGGGCCATGGTTTAGTGGTGGGATGGCAGGGTTAGGTTAAAGGTTGGACTCGATGACCTTAAAGGTCTTTTCCAACCAAAGTGATTCTATGATTCTGTGTCCTGCAGTGACCTAGTTTTAGATTTTATTTGACATGTGCTACATTTACTACTCCTGATCTTTGTTTTGGCTTGGAAAGATAAAAACAATGGTTGAATGTTGCATCAAGACTATTTTCAGGGGTTTTTTTCAGCAGCTGGCTAGAGAATGGGCCAATTCAAGATTTTTAAAACATCTGTAATAATGCAGATATCAAAATAACTATTTTATAGACCTATGCTGAATTTGTGTTCTTTTAAGAAATGTGAAAGAGAAATGAATCTGTCTCTGGCTAGAGAAGATCAAAACTAAGAGTGAAAGCAAAATGCTTTTGAGTTAATACCACAGTAACAGAGCAAAAATGTCAGAACCCAGGAATAGCTTGTGATTAGAGCAATCTCAGAAAGCAGGCTTGAGAACATGCAAGTCCTTGGTGTGGTTTCAGCAGAGATTTTATTGAATTGATAGGGAGATGGGGGAGGGGGAAATAATGCAGCTCTGGCATTGCTGCGGATTTCTGATTTAAAGTCAGCCTTCTGAACTGCTGTAACCGATGAACTGTCATGTACCTGGCTTTTCAAGAGAGCATGCTGTCCTCTCCCTTGCTGTTATGAACAAAATTGGATGTGACCTCTGACTCATGTGTGCTTTATTTTCTAAGCTTAGCAAAAGTAAGCTCAGAACCCCTCTTGTGCTCTTCCTGAGACATTCTTCTGCAGTATGGGCTATCCCTTGTTTAATTAAATAAGAGCCATTGTAATATAAGGACCAGTGGATCCTCAGACCTGAACAGAGGTGCCTGCAGTGCATGTAGGGGTCACGATGAGAAAGGCTTCTTACAAGCTGCTGCCCCCATGTCAACACAGGGCAGTTAGGCGAGAAAACTAAGGCCTCCTGGAGGGAGGAAGATGCTTCCTGTTACTTCTGTATTCTTCCCCTGTAAAAATGTAGTGACCAAGATGAGTGAACTTTCAGACAACTAATATGCTACCGCTTCCCAGATTTGGGGGAGGAGCTATCTTTAATTCTCTGACCCTCATTGGGCACACTTCTGTGTTCCCACATTCTTCCCAGGGTTTCATTACATCCTTTTCCTTTTCTCATAAGGCAAAAGTATTTTTTTAGACCTAAGCAGGCCGCTATGCAAGCGTATATACATTTTCCCTTAATAATCCCATTTTTCTGTCTTCCCAGTCAGGTTTGGCGCTTTCTGGTAAAAAGTAGCACAATTTAAATGCTCTTGGGAGGAGTGGTTTTTTTCCAGTAGCAATTCTGCCTGTGTCTAGGAATGCTAAAGATGCTAAGTTGACAATATGTTTTAAATACAAGGAGGGAAACAGTGTTCATTTAATACTTTCTATTGGCATCCAATAAATGATTTAAAAATTCTGAAAAAATATTCTTATTCCTCATGGGCTTTCTCAGCTTTTCACTCCTTGCGCTACACTGTTGTCGTCCATGCAGTAATCAGTCTTCTATATGCTTCTCCCTTTTAGTTGCTTTAAAACAAGCAAAGCCATACTTGTTTCTTATTGTCCTTCTAGCTGAAGAGCTGTAAGAAAAACTTTCTGTAGGTCTAAAAGTTCAAAGATGCATTGCTTTAAATAATAGGTTCAGCTCACGTTTCTAGTCCAACAGGTAAGTTGTACAGCCAGCCTGCTCTAATTCCTGTGCAGTGCAAGATACATAGCTCTCATGACTAGACTCCTTCCTACCAACCTCTTTAATTTGATTGTCATGTCTTTATTAGAGAACAATTACTTCTGTGCTAATACTGTAAATGACTCAGCCTTAGTTATGTGACTGTTTTGCTCCTCCTGTCACAGCAAGTTAAATAAAAAGCATTGCAAGGAATGTGTGGTAAAGTTGGAAATGTAAACCAAAGACAGCAAGAAGGGACTATGTTTTGAAGAAGTGTCTTATTATCAAGAAGCATCCTCGGTGCTGCAGAGAAGCATAAGAAAGGTGGTTTGCTTTTTATGTACATATTACATTTTATGAGATGTAGTTGGGAATTGCTGTAATGGTGAGGCACACACAAGATGCACATATGTAGGTGGGGCCTTGAAATCTCTACCTTTGTCTTTAGGTGGGCTTGGGAATCCATCTGTATCCTAAAGAGAAAACTAAAGACAATGCTAAAACTGGATTTGGTCAACACCAACCAATCTCACTGGCTTCTCCCATTGCTGTTTTTCACATGAGCTGGAAACAGACTTGCCTGTCTGCATCTCCCAAGGCCTGTTTCTGTCAGGGAGTAGCAGGAACAGGCTGCCCTGCATGGCAGGGTGAGCCAGGAGCCATGGGTGGCAGTAGGACAGACAGGGACCAGGGACCTCACCCACAGGACCCCATCCCACAGCAAACAAAAGAAATGACCAGGGCAGGTCTGGTGATGGTGACCAGGGACAGCCAAGAGTCCAGTGATAGCCAGCAAAGGCCTTACTTAATGAGGCAGGTCCAAGGACAAGCCAGGACGTCAGGTCAGGATCAGCAGGTTACAAGGCTGGGTACTGGCATACCTACAGCTTAGCTCAGGCAAGGACCAAGGGGGCAAGGACCTGAGCTGACAGGGAGCTCCTGGGTCTGCAGGCAGAGGGTACCTGAGCTAAACTTCGAATTTAGTTGGGTGCTACTGTTCCACAAGCCTAAGGGCTTTTTGGAGTCTGTGATGACTCTTCAGTGGGAATCAGAGAGTATGGGTGGCGCAATACTTTGCGGTCTTTTCCTCCCCACAAACTGGGCAGCGCTGAATGATCTCCTTGTGTTCTGGTGTCTCAACCCCTGTTGCATGCAGCATAATATGTTAGAAAAGCACCCTTTCTTCTCCTGAATGGGGGGGGAAAGGAGGGAAGGGGCAGCAATTGAAAGATGTTTAATTTTTGTCTGCTCTGTGATGCAAATGCTGTTCTGGTTATAGTAGTCTCTGGCCACACAATACTGTAGCTACATCTGTACAAATTTTTCCACTCTAGTTCATTAATTTTCAGCCATTGTCCATGTTTTTCATGCTTGTGGTCTGCCAGAACGAGTGTATAGTCCAGAAAACATCTTGTAGTACATGAAACTCTATATTGTGTAGATGAAAAAAGTGATAAGGGATAATACATTTATACCATAATTGCATATCCATGAGGAAGGTTAAAACTACATGTGTAATATTCACTTTAATGTAGCGTTATTTCTTCTAATGGGACTCACATAAATAATTTTTTTAAGACTGTAATCTCTTCACTTCCATACCACTTAGTCACACAGTCCAGCCTTTCTTGATGTTATAAGATTTAGTGCTAGTTACTGGTGTTGCGTAGTGAATGGTGTTTGTGTGTAGTTTTATGTTTCCTCGTAATCTGTTCTCTTTAATCTCACAAATTTTTAGTGAATATCTTTTCCCTTCTGCTTTCCCAGAGATTACTTCAAGGTTATCATTTCACCTAAAGTATGCAACAGCCAAATGAGCCACTGGCTGCGTTGCTGCTGTGCATTTGCCTTCGCCGCAAGTGCAGCTGTGTAAAAGGTTGCTGAGTTTTGAGCTTTGAGTCTGCTGTGTTGGTGCTGATTAAAGCACTGAAACAGTGGAGCTGACTGTACAATTTGGTCAGTTCTGTCTCTCTTTGTGGTGCCCAGCTTTACTATGGTATATAGTAATATTTGGTGCTATTTTAGAAAATCAAGTACTGTTAGAAAAAGACTGTGTTTGAGAAGGCTGTATTCAGATGAAAGCAGCACATAGCAGCTCATTATAATTGCTGCAGAAAGCAGCCATAGCTTTGCTTTAAATGTTGAGATGGGCTACTGAATACAGTAATGTTGACAAAATTGTTGTGAAATGGCCATTATGAAAATTACTGGGTTTAGGTAGTACATGATGTCATATCTCTTTCCTACAACTTGGGCAGTATTATCGGTCTTTTTAAACAAGAATTTTCTGTTATTTTTTCCACTTGCATGGCAATTCCCTTCATTTCAGCAGGGATAACTGCTGGAAACAACTGATATTACCATGTAGCCAGAGACAAGAAAGAGTGATACATGTAAAAACAGAACTTGATTCCAAGTTGCTAATGAATGGTCTGTTTTGATTTTTTTTTTTGTTTTCCCTCATCAGGACAGTTGCAAAGACTTATCCTCAGTCTCCTAAAAATGCCAAACAATATCCAGCTTCTCCTGTGAAGCATCGTGCTACTTCTAATCTCAGCCAGGAAACTCCTAAAAAGAAAGCAGACAAGGAGAAAGAAAACATCAGTCATCAAAAATCCCCAGGAGCACGCACTGATGAGGCCAGCCAGGTGGCTTCTGAGAAGCATGTGCCTTCTCCAGGAAAGACTGAAAATATTGAAGGTGAGTCTTACTGCAAGGTGTTGTGGGTCTGTGAGGCTTTTAAACTGTGATGAACTGTTCTTTTTATGAAGCTGCTCGGTCATGGGTTTATGAGAAATGTGTAAAGGTACATACTAGTATCAGCGAATGTATAGTTTTCACCAGGGTTAACCATGTATGAAAAACACTTGTTAATGAGGATGTGAAAATGTTGAAATCCAGGGATGCCTTTACCTATCCCATATTCTATCTGCTGAAAAGGCTGATGTGTGCTTTTGAAAAGCAAAGGTGTCATACCAGTGTGAACCAGGCCCATTTTATTTAGTCTCTGTTAGAGCATGGAAGTGCTGGGCCCTCTCAGTTCCCTGCTTAACTTTCACCCTTGGTTGTCTTCTCTCAGGTAAGATCACAGCAGGAACAACTGATGCAGAAGAAGCCTCAAAAATTCTAGCTGAAAAAAGACGACAGGCCCGCCTGCAAAAAGAACAAGAAGAAAGGGAGAGACAGGAAAGAGAAGAACGGGAGAGGTAACTGTTCATTTGTGAAAATTATTACCTAGTAATTTAACCTGTATCACTGAAGGTGCCTGAAACTGTGGTGGTTTTAGAATCAAGGTGGGAGCTTACATGTAAGTGTTAATTTCTTTCGATTTAGACCCCTAACTCATTAGTGTCTTTTGCAGTCTTTATGACTAGTGAAGTTAGAAAGTAATAATTTGGCCTCTTTAAGAAGCCTGAAGAAACTATTACTCAAAGAAACTTTTACTTCGTCAAAAAAAACCCCTCTTTGAGGCAGTTTTAAAAGAGCTAGATCACGTAGAAGAAACAGTCTTGCAGGAGTATGTATATGCCTTAAATGGTAAGGCTTGTATCCCTCAACAAATTAACCTGAAGCTTTTGTCCCGGCCCAGCTCTGTTGTAGGCAGTTGAGGGCTTTAAAAGTGTGGGCACAGTGAAGGTTGCTGTGTCTAAGCAATGAAATTCTGTCTCTGTTCTGGGAGCAAGCTTTTACATGGTTCTTCACATTGAGTGCTGGTTGCAGGTGTCAACAAATTATGCCGTTCCTTCAAGCGTCTAATATTAAACCACTAACTCTGCATGACAAGATTCAACTTTGTCTGTTCTTATTGAAAACATGGAGGGGAGGGGAAATTTGGAAATGCTTCCTGAATCACCGATATGCAAGGATAAGAATGATCAGCTGTCAAAGCAGCTCTTGGATGTGGTGACAAAGGAGCAAGATGTCCCTCAGTGAGCCAGGGAACAGCAAAGGTGGAATTTAAGCGCACTCTTTCTAGTGTACCACTGTGTTCTGTGGACTTTGTTTGCTGCTACTTATCTGATCTGTTTATCTTGGCTGAAATGAAGGAAAAAAAAGTACTTGCTTGTTTGTAGATACCAGCATTCTGGGTGTGGTGTACTGGGGAAGAGGGATGGTTTTATTATTGAAGCTCTAATTGAAATTAGAATGGAGTTATTTTCTTTTCTTTGGTGACATTTCTTTTTTGAAGGGAAATTATGATTTCTAGGAAATATTTTAGGCAGTGAAAATAAGATTGGAATAAAAGTTTGATAGCAACCTGAATTCTGGACATATGCTCAACCTCTTTGCTCTATCTTGGCATTTTTCATCAAAATGTGCGCTGATGCCTGTATTATTGGTTACTGCTGATTGCTTGCCGTACATACAACAGGATTCATGCTAAACAAGATGAAACCTTTTAAGCATACTGTTATATTTTTTGCAGGCTTGAAAAAGAGGAACAGAAAAGAAAGGCAGAAGAAGAAAGACTTCGTCTAGAGGAAGAGGCTCGTAAGAAGGAGGAGGAAAGAAAACGTGAAGAAGAAGCAGCTAGAAAAAAGGCAGAAGAGGAAGCTAGGAGAAGAGCTGAGGAAGAACAAATGCTGAAAGAAAAGCAAGAGAAAGAGCTCCAAGCCAAACTTGAGAAACAGGTACCATCTCAAACACAAATGTGAAACTTTGTATATGTATCTATGTATACATATATTTATATATACATATAAATAAATACTTTACAGTATCTGGTAATCTGCCTGAAATAAATAAGGGCCCTATCATATTTTACACATTTTGATTAGAGGGAAGAAGCAGAAATCAAAGCCCGTGAGGCAGCTGAACAACTTCGTCTCGAAAGGGAACAAATCATGCAGCAAATTGAGCAAGAAAGACTGGAGCGGAAGAAGGTAGGTATTTGCGTCTCGTTTATGATAATTTCATTTTGTGTTTAAATACATAACCCAGGAAGTACCCAATAGTATCTAGAAATAATAAATCTGGAGGGATTACAAATTGATATTTATGCCTAACTTAGTATTTGCTACTTGCATGTTTAGGGGAATGTGGGCATCAAAATTTGTAACAATGTGGAATTGCCTAAGGCAAATTACTTTCTCCTAGGCACTGAACAAACACAGAATTAGCTTCTACCCATGAAGTTAAATGCCTGAGACAAACATGGAATGGCATGCCAAGGCAAATGTTGATTGCCACCCGACCCAGGACATCACAGACTATTGAGGAACATGAGTGACTTTGTTTTCAAACTTACTCAACAGAAGCTCCATGTCATTAATTGAGAAAGTTAATGTGATTAACAAACAGGTTTTCTCCCACCTGGCTTGCCTCTGGTTGCATTATGCAGAGGCAGCAGGGCTGTCTGGCTGCTGCCACACAAGGAAATGGCTGGAGCTGCATAGCTTAGCTTTATCTACAGCTCTGTGGCAGGAAAGAGAGAACAACTGCAGAGCTGCAGAACCTCTGTCTGGTTATGAAAGCTCGTCTTTCTATGTATGTTGTTCCAGTGTGTTATTTTTAACTTTTTACCACTGAGCTGGAGGCATGTTGCAGTTGCAGATTAGAATACCAAACCAAAGTGTCTTTAAATCTGAAATAGTTTCCATTCACACAGTACTGCAAAGAGACAAGGTTTGTTGGGAGGGGTTTTTTTACTGAATGAAGAAGAAAAAAAAAAAAAAGTATTTTAGCGTAATGCCTTACACATATCCAGCAAGAATAACTTCAGACATTTCGTTTTATTCTTCCATTCCAAAAAGCCTAATGATTTGTAAAGGAACTATTTGGAAATAGTTGGAAAAGCAACTAGATGAAAATAATTGCTGTTGTTTTTAAATAAACATCTTGTTCCAGAGCTGAGCAGAACTCAACTGCAAACACCTGGTATTAAAAGGTTTGTCTCTAAATTGCATCTACTGAGAAAATCATGTTCTGTGAGACTGGTATGTGAAAGCTGGGTGCCAGGTGTTTTCTATCTTTTGTTTTCTTTATTTTTCTTATTTATTTTCCCTTTTTCAAGACAGACAGGGTCATGAAAAGTTTTCGTCTTTTTTTTTTTTTCTCCTTTATCAGTCTCTTGTGTTAAATATTCTGTCTGCCTTCTCATCCTCCAATCTATTTTGATTTCTAGAGAATAGATGAAATAATGAAGAGAACAAGGAGGAGTGAAGCACCGGAAATAAAGGTATGAAACAGTGTGTCGTTGCGGGGTGTGTGTGTGTGTGTGTTGTTTTATAACCCATATGTGAAAATTAATCTCCAGATTAGTTGTGTTAGTAGGTATACTTAAGTACACTCTACGCCCAAATCTCAGTTGCATTTCAAACTGAGAATGACTGTCATTGTGCCACCATTATTGTTGTGCCACTGTTACGAAGACACAGTTTTATGCAACTATTTGCAGACTTACCTCCCTCACTACCTAGCAAGGTGGCAAGAGCCCATTCCTGGGTGCTGCAGCTGTAATGTTTGCTGCTGTGATGTATCTTCTCCTGCTTTGTAGCAGCCAGTGAATTAGTTACTGAGCTCTTTGTGTTAAGCCTGCCAGGAATGGAGGATTGAAAACAAGGCAATTGTCTCCAGCTAGGAAGTGACAAAGAGTCGAGTTTTCACTTCTGTTCTAAGTTTTCTACTAAGGAAGCTGTTTCTTCAGTTACAGAGAGTGTTTTCTTTTTGAAGTAAAACAAAATTAAAAAATCCTGTGCCTAATTAAAAAGGAAAAAAAAAATCCGCTCTTGCTGTCAGTGACCTTTGACCACCCCGAGGCCCTGGGCAGTCTCACAGATTTTGAGTCCAATCAGTTCCATGAAGGTTACAGTCCTTCATCTAATACATTTGACTCATTACTTGATTACAGAAGGAAGAGCCAAAACTGGAGGTACCATCAACTTTGAATGTGGAAAAGCAGCCGAAGGCCCTTGTTCTCAACCAGCCAGGTAAAATCACCATATTTTCCTAACCTGTTTTCACAGTTAGTTCTTTTCAGAATTTCCTAATCTCAGACAGAGCACTGTGTATTATCACAGGTTCTTTGCCTTCACCTCTACAGCCACATTTGCATCAGTAACAAATGTTAGAAACTGGAGACTCTGCTTTGTTTTGCCACATAAGCAGAAGAAAGTTTCTCCTCCATTTTAGTACCTGATGTAGCATTTCTGTAAATGAGAAGTTCCAGTCTGCCAGTAGGTTTGGTTGCTGCAATCTACCTTCAGATTTTGTAGGTAGAAAAATTTTTGCACACAATCAAGCTTCCAAGCTCTTCATAGTATTGTATTGCCCTAAATCTTACATTTAATTTGACTTGATGAAAAAAGCATATATATTTAAAGCATTATTAAAGAACATATACGTACCTGGCATTTACCTATATTTTGTTTACTTCGCCAGGCTAAGGCGTTTACTACGTGATGTAAAAGACAAAGCATTCATTCTCTTCCCATTTCCTCAGATTTAAAAGATACAGCATGAAGAGCAATTTTAGAGTGGAAAAGAGGATTGATAGTGTAGTATGATGCGTCATAGATGAAACTTGAGTCCTACTGCATTGTCAGTCTTCCTTTCTTTCAATCTATAAAGGATTTGTGATTTTTTTTTTAAAAAAAAACTATTTAAATAAAGAAGTTGCTACTGTCATAATTTCTAACCTTCTTTTATAGAGATCAATGGATTGGCAACCTGCCTGAAAAATAAAAGCTTAGAAAGTGCTGCCTCTGTAATCCCTTCCCAAGATGCAGTTGCTAATGGACTGAAGTCAGTTCCAGGACTTACTCAGCTGGAAGCTGTTGATGGGAAATCTAACAGCATGGAAGATTCAACAGATGAGGTTCAGTCCATGGATGTGAGGTACAGACTGTATCTGCTGATAGAAATTGTGGGATTCATGTCGGACACATGCAAAGTTTTCTGTTTCATTTGTTAATACTTTAGTGCTTTACTTCTCACCTACCCCTGAATGTGGCAGTCAGGTGTCTACTGTGGTGCACTCCACTCCTGCCAAGATGCAAATGGGTTGTTTCACACGAGAGTCAACAGAACCTCATCTCACTCTCACTTATTTGGTGGGGGGAGGGGGGTGGGGGTAGGCTTTGAATTCCTTCTACGCTCCTTACTTATGGGCTCCAGATTATTCTGTGAAAGTAGCTACTGTAGATATTGTTGGATGTCCCCATTTTTTTTTGTTTGTGTAAGGACTGCATGGCTACGATGCATGAGCTTTTCTCCCTCCATACAAACAGAGTAAAGAAAATAATTTAGAATTTCAAGTCCTTAACTGGAACAAATGTATGGAAATCAGTAAATAACTTTGTGTGTATTAAAATACTGTTGGATTTTGATGGAAGGACTTGAAGGAAAGAAGGAAGTTCATATCTTACGGCTGCTATGAGAAAGCTAGCTCTGAATTTTAAACGTGGAAATTTTAGGTGGTGCTTCCTTAATCAGCAAGCCAACTTAACCTCTCATACAATTTCAGTATTTCCAGTAAATCTGTATAAATACCTAAGAAATGTCCTACTGGAACAGACCAGAAGTCCACCTAGCCCATTGTTTGGTCTTGGAGAGTATCAATGAGGCAGACTAGTTAGGAAGAGCACCTGGGCCCACCACTTTCTGCAGTCCAGGACCACACAGAAGTGTTATGTTAGGGATGTCAGAGGGTATGACCCTTGCCTTGCCCTTTGAAATACCTGCTGGTGGACCTGTTGCCCATGAGTTTATCCAGCTCCTTTTTCAACCTGCTGATAATGTTTGTGTCCAGGACCTCATCTGGCAGCAAGTTCCACAGTACAGTCTCACTAGTAATTATATTCTTTGGTCTGTGTTAAACTCAGTGTCTCACTAGTGTCATTGGGCACCCCCTAGGTTCTGAATTGCAGCATTTGATGGGCAAGAGTTTTGCCCTCAACTTGCCAACCACTCCTTCATAGCTTTAGAAATCTTTGCAAAATCCTTCCTCTGCCTTGTCTTCTCCAAACTGAAATGCACTAGCCGTATAGTCTTGGCAAAGCGTCAGTTGGTAGCAGTGCTTCTTAAATTAAATTCTAGGTTTTTTTAATGTCTGAGGTGTATCACAAGGTCATAAGAAATAACTTATTTAAGTTGTGAAGTGTGAGTGCTTTAGGTAAATGTTTGCAGGGTCAGGACAATAATTTGCAAGATGCAATAAACATTTAAGTAAGGGAATGAAGTATGACCTTCCATCCTGAACAGGGTAACCTCTATTTGTTTGGACTGGGACATACTCTATGTAAGGGCTTGCTGCATGGGGCCTTAAGATAAGTAATATATTTTGAACGGTCAGATGAATTTGGTTGTTGCTTAATGAAAAGCTACACGCCTCTTATTCTGCATCTTCCTTTTGTTTATCTTTTTTTATAGCCCAGTTTCAAAAGAAGAACTTATCTCTATCCCCGAATATTCACCTATGAATGAACTCATGCCTGGTGTTTCTTTGGACCAAAATGGGACAAGTAATGCCAAGGCTCTTGAAGATCTCTTGGATTTCACAGGCCAAGCTACGTACTCCAAGATGTCCAGTGATACCATTAGCCTAGATGACTGTAACAAAAACTTGATTGAGGGATTTAACAGTCCAGGACAGGAAAATACACTTAATTCTATCTGTTGACAACCTCGCTTTTCAGCAGAACAGAGAAAGGTACAGTATTGTGATAAACATGTTAGATACGATAAATTGCTGTGATCACTTATGAGCTTCCCAGAAAAATACAGCAGTTGTAAACAGCGTATGTGGAGGGAGGAAGAAAGCTGGTCTCCTAGATATTTAAATTCAGCATAAACTTTCATATTTGCAGCTCTTTTTAAATTGACATCGTATGCCAACTGAGTGTATCATAGCAACCGAAAGTATCTGGTAAATGGAAACATTTCCTTTATCCATTCAGAACACAGTGAGAAGAGTTGCTTTTTTTCTTCATTACTACAATACATTTCCTACAGGGCTTTAGAGCCCATTCGCATGAAGACAACAGGTAAAAGTGGGGCCAGCCTAGAAAATGGTAGTTACTGTTGCTGCTTACTCTTTTCTGCTGCTGTAGATGCCTGCAGCACGGTATAGAATCGCTTATCCTGCAAAGCCTGCAAGCAATATGGAAAAAGCATAGTAGGCTTTGGTGACGGTTTCAGAGTACACTGCCACAGTCCATTTTTTTTGAAAGACTGTGTTCTAAATTACAAAACCGAGGTCATCTAAGTTGCGTAGCTGACTTGATATTCTCTCTTTTTTTTTAATTGACAGAGGTAGCAATTTGTGGAGGATGTATATCCCTATGATGCTACTGCCAGTAGCGTACGAGCCTGTCACTTGAAAAAGCTTCTGCAGTCCTTGAACACTGGATTTCAAATAATCAGAGCTGAATATAACTTTGTCTTCCCAGGGACTATGTTGAACGACTGGCTGCTTTCGGTAGAAACCAATGAACTAGAGCCTTGATGGTTTTTTTTCAGGGAAGACTGAGTGTGCATTAGAATCTGAGCTTTAGCTGCTAATAAAGCACTTACTACTTCTGTTAATTTAAAATTCATCTCAACACTTCACTGTGATTTTTACCTGTGCATTTTATTTTGAAATAATTCTTCCTTAGGCTTTATCATGCATCCATTTAGACATCTTGTTCTTGTAAATAATGATGAGGTTTGCCCACAGTGCATTGAAATGAAATAATATACTGTACCTTAGTTTTGTGCCTATCTTTTTTTTTTTGTCTTTAATAAGGAGTTATTGGCAACTTTTATGCAGGTGTATAATTCAAAACTTGTAGCTGAGGAAGCTTGAAAAATATACAACTGCTGGAATCAAAAGAGCCTTCTTACTGGCTGTGGAGCGTGGGAGCTATCCCGTTATGGTTATGTTGACACTTTTAGTCACTAGTGGCACTTACTGGTTATTATTAATTAGTCCGGGACCGACTATCAACTATGTGTTTAAAACCATACTTGTGTAACACCTGTAAACAACGTAGGCAAAAATCCCTTAATATATATATAGTATAGCTGTAGTAGATCCAAGTGAGTGGTCCGGGGGGGGGGGCAGAGCTAAGATGTTCATCTTTGGAGATGCAGGCACGCGATTAATACCAGCAGGCTTTCTATCTTGCAGAGAAGTATTTTGTCTTCCTTTAGGCTCAACAAAACAAGATTTAGTCAGCAGCAAAACAATACGCAAATGTTGCAGCAGAAACGCAAAGGCTGAGCCGCACACGGGGAACGCTGCTAGCCCCTCTTCACCTTCTGTACGCATCTGTATGGAAAAATTCACACCAAGATGTGAAATGTCTATAGACATCATGTGCCATACAGTGTTAACTTTATTTCTGTTGGTGAACTATGATAACTTCATGCTAGATCATGTGCTGCTTTGAGGACACTTGTCCAGTTCCTTATAAGAATAAATGATAAGTACAACTCTCCTCGGACACTTAACACAAAAGAAGTGAAAACTTGGGGGTGGTGGGGTTTTTTTGCTTTTTGTTTGTTTGGGTTTTTTTCACATGTTAAGGGAGTTCACAGCGTGGCTTGAGCTCAGTTGTAGCCCTGTTCTTGTGCTCTCTAAAGCCAGCAACAGGAAAGTAAGCAATGACGTTATGTGCGACCTATAAAGAAATCATACCTACAACAAGCCAGCTCTATTTACGTTAGTGTACTTCAGAGAAATACTTCCTTTTGAGTGTGCAGTGAGCTGTAGCATGGTACTGTGTCTTCCAAGCTAGTCCTTCATCTATTTCCTAAACAATAAACAAACAGAAAGTTTGTTTTGCTGTGATATGTTGTGTTTGACAAACGTCACATTATATTTTATTATGGTGCCATTGTATAACCTGTAGATTTCTGTATTTGCATGACCTGTATAGCATGTATAAAGGTGAAATACATTTTCATTTATGAATCCAGCTTGTTTCTTAGCTCTTTTTTTTTTTTTTTTTTACTTCCAGGGAAAATATGACTGGATTTAGAAATACATGTATGTTCATTTGTTCTGAGGTGTTTGCTGAAGGAGGGTGTAATACTGAATGAAGGAGCAGTTGTCAGAGCCACAGAATATTTCACCATTATTTCCTTTGCCATATACTCACTTGCTTTCTGATGTCTTGCCAATATGCAGAGGAAATGCAGGCTGCTGGCAGAAGAGCCTTAAGCCGAGGGCTTCCAAACTGTGGCATCCAGGGTGCTCGTGACCGCATACAAGCCAGTTTGCAGCCCCAGCTTCTGCTGTCTGGGCTGTTACTTGGCAAAGAAAATAAGGGAAAGAAAACCTGGGAGCCATGGCTGGTAGACACGGCTCTGCTGAGTGTGCAGGAGCCGTTCTGTAAGGGTACCCAGAACGTAAATGCTGAACTTCTCTTCAAGCTACATGCGCGTACTGCTGCTTTGGAGTTAAAGGTCTTTTCCAACCTAAACGAATCTATGATTCTAGAAAGAGGCCAGCCTGGAGCTGCGCTTGGTCTTCTAGTGGAACGCTGGGGGGGGGAAATGTTCTAAGATTTTGTAAAAAGAATTTTTTTTAAATCCTAACTTCAGTCAAAATTGAAAATGAGAGAATCTACTTTTATTATGAAGTATATGAATACTTTCCATGGTTACAATTCATCTCAGTCTTACTAACTCTGGAATAATTAATGTGATTTGTCCCTATTTTCCTTTATATTTGCTTTCAGATATAACTTTACAAATTTTGGCTGAATATCTGGAGCAAGTACTGTTAGCTGAGGGGTTAAATCGCTTCTACTTTTTACTTTGGATGATGTAACTTCTCCATACCAATACCATACCAGTGTTTGCTGCTGTGATTCAAGTCTACGCAATGAGCTTTCACTTTTAATTTGTCCGTGGTCTTGAAACTGTGGTGAAGGATCACCAGTGATTCACACGAGTCCTTGGGGGAGCTTTTCTGCTGTAAAGCACTTGAGAATCAAGCTTTAAGAAGCAGCAAGGAAAAGAAAAGAAAAAAAAAAAAAAAAAGTAGAGCAGTGATCCTTGAATGGCTTTTTATAAATGGGTTTATAAATGGATAATGTGTTGGGTTTGGGTTTTTTTTTTTTTTTAGATTACTTTTATAAAGGGATCTGCAAAACAAGGTTGTACGCAGCAAGAAGAACCAGACACCACTACTGTCCTTTCCCAGGTTCAATATTTTCAATAACTGGTATAACTACCAGTAAGTTTCTGATACGTAAATAAATAATACATGTGAGGTAATTGGGCATCACAGCAGCTCTCTCTTGAGGCTCAGCGCTTTCTGTGGTGTGGGCCTGGGAAACGACACCCAAAGTTTGTCTCTGGTCTCAGCAAAGGCCCCGAAGTGAGACCTCCTGGCTCTCCAGCGAATTCATTTCAAAACAAAATGGCACCAGCGAGGGGTGGATCTCGACCCCCAGGCTGAATTCTAGAAGGGGAGGAAAATCATCCTCCCCTCCTCCTCCTCCCCTCCTGTAATTGTACAAATAGCACAGGCTGCTACTCGGGCTGGTGGGGTGGTGGCCTTCCCTCTGCCACCTCTCCTAGCGAGAGCAGCCCCTCTTCCTGCTTCCCACCCTGACAGCTCGGGCGCCCCTGCCACCACCCTGCTTGTGTTTCAGCAGTGGGGCACCGCAGCCCTTCTACTGCTCCACAACCCCACGTGCCCCAGGTAGCGTGGTGGCTGCCTCAAGCATCGGTCGGAGGAGCCCGGGGTCCCAGGACACCTCTGGGGCTTCAGTGCTGCAAGGCATCCTGGAAACCCTGGTAGAAGACAGACGTCCTTCCCACAAAGGTTTAAACCGTGGTCCCTTCCCCCTGTTGAAATGTGAATAGTTTAATATGTAAGAGCTGAAGACTCTTCCCTCTGCGAGGTCTCTCCAGTTTGCTCTCAGCCGGGGCCCATGCCCTGCCAAGAGGGAGACCCTCCTGCGAGAGCTGCACAAACAAATGGGCGAGGGCAGGCGGCTCCCTCTCCTGCCTTAGTGACCTGCGGGGCTGCTTCCTTGCTCCTCCCCTCTCCCTCCCTGTGCGAGAACCACAGAGAGACCAAAAAGCTTGCTTCACTTGTGGTCATTTTAGAACAGTGTTCAAACTGCTCGTTGCCTCCAAAAACAACGCGGAGAGGGGATGTTTGCCTGTGCTGCGTGTGCTCTGTGCGTGTGTGTGCAAATACATATATAAATGGCAGTTACCTGGCAGTGGCGGATGTTGGTTTTCAGTAACTACTAAATTCTGAAAAATTTGTTACTGATGGGCCCTTAAGCTAAAATATGGAAAATATGTTATGACTGAATGCAATTTTCTCTGGTTTTTCTTTTTAATCTTAAGAAAAACAGGCTTTACGTTCATTCAATCTCTCCAGAATATGTACGCTTACAAAAATAACAGAAACCTTAAGATACTCAGATGCATTTTTGTTATTGCTGTTAGTGGCAATAATACCAGTCCACAACACCACGAGTCACAATATTCGTCTCTCCCCCTCTCCTGTCCCACATGGTGGGTCGCATGATGGGTGAATCTTTTTGATCCCCCAAGGGTTTGTGTACCGGTGAAAAGCCGATCTCTGCTCGGCAGAGCCGTGGGGCCGGAAGAGTCACGACAATGACTCAGAGGAACAATTTAACCAGTAACTTTATGAACTGGCAAACT